GCAAGCAAGCAAGCAAGCAAGGAACCAAGAAACCAAGAAGCCAAGCAACCAATCAATCAGTCAATCAAGCGATCTGTATTTATTTTTTATATCTATACATATATATATATATGTGTGTGTGTGTAAGTACTGACGCACATACACATGCGTAGTATAAGGTACTGTACAACGATCGATGTATACATATATATATATATATTTATTTATAGCATGCACGTGTCAATGCAAAGAGAATTGTAACTGTACATATATATACATACATACACACACACACACACACACACCTCTCTTATGTTGTATATACATATGATTGTGATACCAGGACCAGGACGTATCCTCTCAGCGGCCTTTGGTCACCGGGCTTTAGGCTTGCGAGTTGATAGCCGAATCCCACCCGAAGTTGAAAGGCAACGGAAGGTGATAGAGTCTGATGTGTTGCATCATAGTCTAGCATGATCTAACGTAGTAGGGGTGTTAGAGCATGTTACCTGGCTATGGCATATCAGGAATATAGCGGTTAGCTGTACAACAATATACTATCTTAGGACAATATAGTAGTGAAATATGGTAACATAGTAATTATGATGGGCTGTAACACAGGCATCGTGTTGCACCTTCTCACGCGATGCCCGGTGCCCTCGAAGAGATCCTCAACCGGTTCAACCCATAGCAGCTGTTGACACCAGGTCCCATCCAGGCGCAAGTTACACCCATGCCTCAAACCTGACTCTACCACACTGGCGTCCCTGACCGTACATTCATGCATACAATCCCCTTTCTGAACTGTGCGCTGGGAAGGACTTGATTGCAGTTCGGGTTTGCTAGGAATGTCAGGGCTGGCTTTTGCACTGCAGCACATGATTTGAACGTCTGTGCTCGAAATGGACAACGAGATCTGGGTTATACGACTATAGCCATGGTTCTATTTCGGTCGATGTGCGAAGCCGTCGTAAAGTGGGCGACCAGGGGTTTCGTGCTGTAGAGTAGCCAATCCTGACATGCTTGATTTCCGGGAATTTGACTGGTTTTCCTAGGCCACCGTGGAAATGAGCTCGCAAATCAGCGAAGGCAACAACAGCAGGCATGCAGAGTCGCGAACTTGAGGTGCACAGAGGAGTCCATGCAAGCATGAGAAACCTGCGTCCGTCCAGGCTTGCTCCATTGATCCCGAGTTTTCCTCAGAATTTGAGCCAGCTTGCGAGCGCGACCTCGGCTTGTCATGCACCCATGCGGAGTGAGTATGGCCGTGGTTCACGACTCTATTTGCGACCCCGCCGGAGCCCGACCCGACCCGGCTTGATGGGAGTTGACTGAAAAGTCTAAGACGACCGTAGATTGCATGGAAACCACGCCCAGATGAACTTTACTTGTTGTGCGACTTTGCAGGTCCCCGAAAGTCATTGATCATTGAACCAGGCAAGCACGGCAAAAACCCACAGCCTGCCCAAGTAGCGGTCCGGAATCGCGTTTCGGCTAACCTGACGCCCTAAGCCCTGAATCCCGAAATTGCACTCCATGGATCCCCAAGCGCTGCATACCTGGGTCTGCTCGAGGATGTCTAACAAGCGTGGAAGCTCAGCAGGCTTGGCCATGAACGAGGCCACCAGGGCTGAGGGTTCCGCTATGCAGCCCGGACTGTGGAACATGGTTCATGATTTGTTGTTTTGCCATCGTGTTGGTCTCACAGGCGTCAAGGGTCTTGCGCTCAGTTGACTGTTGATAGGAAGGCGTTGCCCGGCAGTTGGTTTGGCACCATTCCACAGACGTGCACAAGTCATTTCTCCTCTGCACGTGGCCATCGTCGATGCTGCCAGGGCTTCATCGTCAAGCACTATGCCGGACAGGTGGAGTACAACACGAAGGGTTGGTTGGACAAGCCACTTTGACGCAAGCGGGTGCGATGCGTTTCGACGGACAGAGTTCAGATTCGGCTACGGCGCTTCCTACCTTTCGGGCCGAGCCAGTTTGCACCAAAACGCCCTCAAACATCATTTGGCCTTCGGATGCCTGCCGATCACCCAGAGCACCTTTACACTAGCATCCCAGAGCCCTGCTGCGAAGTCATACATCCTCTCTGCAGTATCCGTAGACGTGGATTCTGAAAGAATGCTGCGCAAACCTCCTCAAGTTTCGGTCGGGTAGCTCAAGAGATTTCACCGCGATCCGTGTTACATGAGTCCAGCACTTAATCAGTTGAGGGGAGTGTCGCGGAATTGGAGGGCGCAGGGTCTAGAGGTTCAGGAGGTTTACGATTCCGATGCTTTCTGGGAAAAGGAACAACGATCGCCTCCTCGTCGAGTGCGAGGAGTTGATTTGTCCCTGGGCCTGAATCTTCAACTGTTGCGTCCGGGATGAGTCTAGGATCTCACTTGCTGGGTGTGTTTGCGGTTTGTGTCGGGCATAGGGCGTAAATGATCTTGTATGGAGGCCTGAATAACCACCCACATTGCTCCCTAAGGTTCCCACTGCGTTTATCGTATTGTGTCCCCCGAAAGGCCTTGTTCTGATTGTTAGGCCGGGATACCCAGGCGGCTCGGAGTGCAACTTTGTACGGACCTTGGGAGACGACGAGAAGAGCAAGGCGGCCTAGGTTTCAGTCTGTACATGATGTTTTCCAATTAATTTAATTTACCGATTTTTAAACTCCTTGAAAGTGAGGTTGACGTTATCAGTGTTTTTTGTGTCGGAGTTTCTGCTGGTCTTGGGTGGGCTTTAGGAGCTGCGTGTGCAGAGACTTGGACGGTACAAGGGTGGTTTAGGGCCTTCAGGGTTTCTCAACCTGTGCGAGTGTAACGATTCTGGGTTCAGTGCAGGGTTGCTGGCCAGTGGCGCAGTCGGGGTCGCGATCTGGGAGTGCAAGTTCAGGGTGCGGCCACGTGGCCTGAGAGTACAGTCAGCGTGTGAGTCACCAAGCCGTAAGAAGGATCTTGTACATAAGTGGCTTTGAGCTAGAAGTAGCCTTTGCAACGGTGCAGCAAAACACTATGTTTCGGACTTGACGCCTGCTTGGATTGTTAGCAACTTGGCGGTTGCGTATCAAGGCATGCAAGGCGAAAGCGGCAGACGTGTAAGGCAGCTCGTCTTAGTGCCAGGTGCTCTTCCGCTCCATCAGCAAGAAGTACTCGGCGGACCTGGAAAACTTGCTGAAAACGCTCAACCAGTGCCATCTGCACTATATCCGCCCCTCGCCTGGACATCTGAGAGGCTCAATCATCAGGCCCTGGTTCCTTCAGCGGTCCTCCCTTCCAAGCTCGGACACGGCCGTTCCAATGCCTTCGACAAGAACCCCGATCCCAGACCGGCTTAGGCTTTTGGATTCAGGGTTTTGAGTGGTTTGTCCTGGGGTTTAAGCTTCTGCTGGCGAAGGCTGCTTCAAGCCTAACGAGCTCCAAAAGCGCAGCATCTTCAACGACAATCTGGTGCTGGACCAGATCGTTCAGTCGAGACCTCAGATCCCTGCCGCCCAACTGTCAGCCAAAAAACCCCACACCCTTGTGAACCCTGAAACGCTAAAGCCTGAATCACACCACTCGCCCTTGAGGTGTGGAACCATTGAGTTGGTCAAGATCATGCACGATGGGTGGCCTGGTCGAACTTCGAGTTTTCTGGGCTAGGTTCCGGTCTTCTCCAAGTCAGAGTTTTGTGGCTTCTCTGCCGCTGCCTCCCTGTCCAACTCGCGTCCTGTCCTTCTCACCCTACACCGATAGGAATCCAAGACCCGCGCAACCCTAAACCCAAAGAACTGAATCGCCAAGAAGAACAGCCTTGATAGCTCCCTAAACCCCAACCCCGAGAACCCCCGCTACCCTCCTGACCTGAACGACCTAAACAGCCCAAACTCCCCGGTTGAGGGCACACAAAGATGCAAGGGTGTGGAGCACTGAAGGGTTGAGGGCTTCCTCTTTGCTTTAGCATTCAATATCCTCGACTTCAATGCTTCGAATGTTTTTCAGCCTCAGCTCCTTGAAGTTTTTTTCCGTGATGAGAGTTCCTGTACCACGAGGTCCTATGATCCTGTTCCAATAGTTCACGCTTCTCTGACAACAATAAGAAACCAGCTGCTGGGTTTAAGGTTCCTAAACCAACGTTTCGGATGCAGTTCACGCTAAGGGAGAGTAAACGATGAAACAATGAAGCCGCACAGGTATCCCAACCGCTGTGTCTTCGACGAACTGGTATCTCGTTTCCGCAACTTGGCACAGCTGCCCCCTCCCCCCCCACCCGAAAAAAAGAAGCACGGCTCCTTGTTGGTGAAAAGTGAGCGAGGGGGGACATTTCCGATGTCTGCAGGAATTTTGAGGGCTAGCACTTTCAAGATTCGGTGTCTTGAGTCTTGCGAACGCACCGTCCGTCTGTTCACGCGGGCGTCTCGTTCATCACCGTCACCGTCGCCGTCGTCGTCATCATCATCATCGTCAGGCCGCTATCTCCATCGTCATCATACCACCATACATGGCTTCTGCAAATTGGTCAGAAGCTGCGAGCTTAGGCAGCTTGCTGCCGGACAGCTTCCAGCGGTACGGGAACCGCACCTTCATCGAAGCACTCATGCTGGCCTACGACGTGCCCAAAGAGGCGGGGCAACTGCCATAGTGCCACCAACATTCCTTTAATAGCTTTGAGCACCATGCTCAACAAGTGCAGAGACCTCTGTCCACTACACGCCAAGCCCTACTGGTGCAGGACTGGGCTTTGGGAATGTCCCGGCTCTTCCTGAAAGCCGGGCAGCTCAAGGCTCTGGAGGATCTCCGCTCCAAAGGCGGGGGTGCACCGAGGTTGTGGAGACCGGGTCGGCATACTTTCAGAGGCTTTTGGGTTGCTTTGAGTGTTCTTCCGGACTTGAGAAAGAGCCCGGACGTCTTGTCGAGCTCAGGTTGAACCTCTTGCTGGGGTCTTGTCCACCAGCCTTCTTTCATAAACAAGCCATAGTAGGCACAGATGGTAGAAGATGAGCGCTTCTTCGTGGTCAGCCCAATTTGGGTCTAGAGGTACTGGAATGAAGTTTGTGCCGACAATGCTGAGCTGAGAACTAGATCTGCCAGATTGACGTGTCCCGGAAACCGTCAAACTCCAACTTCCCGGTGCAACGCCAAGAAGCAGGCGCCAAGCCTGACACAGAGAAGCTGCAGCAGATTGTCCGCGGCATCGTCCGAAAGAGGTGGCCGAAGGGCGGATTCATGGTTTGGGTTATGGTGAGCCAGAAACCAACCTCTGTAAAGCCTGCATGGCACCGCGACGGCCCTGTTGCCTTCCGGGTTCCGTTTCTGACAGTTCGGGCCAGCCGCCTCGAAGTTTTGTGGCATCTTCGGGCTTTCCAAGAAGCTTGACAATTTTGCAAAGGGAATGTAGCTTGATCAGGTGCGCAGTGGATGAAGTCATGATTCGCTTTATCGCGCCTCGCATGTGCCTGTCTGGAACGCAGGGCATTCCTGCCCGACGAACCACGACCTTCAGGGGACACCTCAGTTGGACTGGTCCAGTCGGTCGACGTTTAGAACGTTGTAATTAGTGTGTCTCGCAGCATCGTAGGTCCTAGAGTCCTAGAGTGGGTGCGGGCATCGGCATGACAGAAGGCCCTACCGCGGCGAGAGTTGTGCAACCTAAGCCCCTCTGCAATGGCCCCGAGCCCACGCTCTAAGCATCTCTATATCCCCAAATACCACAGACTCTTAACCGCGAGAGTGTTAATCAACCCCAAGCCCCAGCAGCCTCCAAACTCAAACTCCGGCGCATCAACGCCAGGTGGCTCAGAGCAGGCCATGCTGTGCGGCTCTGCAACTATTTCCCGAGGTCCCAGGGAGGGTTCAGTTGGGAGTCCCCACAGATCTCGATTTGGGGCATTGAGAGGTCTATCCTACCCTACCCCACTGGGGTCCTTTATTTCGACTTCGACTCCTTGGGCTCAAGATCTTATCCCTCTATGCGGGGTTTCCACAGAAAGATACCAGAGAGGGCCCCTCCGTCAAGCACGGCTGCCACATCCTAAAGCCCTAAAACACCAAAACCCAAATCAAAACAGATGTCAAGCCTTGGCCGCCCATTAGGCTGTAGACATTCGAAGATGCTGGCAGGTTCCTCTCCGCCATCCGTGCAGCACAAGCGGTCCCTTTGCTCATCTACATACAAGGGCATATGTAAGTACTTCGTAGTAGGCTTCCTTGGGCTTCCGCAAACCGTTTGTACTCTCGTGTCTAAATTGTCACGGCCCTATAATGCCTCGCCCTCAACCCACTACTCTGCTGCCAAGCCTGAGCTCCCCCAACCACTTGACAGTTACAGCTTCGCGGTTCTGAAGCATCCAGGCGTCCTTTGCTCGACAGACCCGAAGGCTTTACAAAAGCCCGGAGACATCTTAACTAAGTGAGGTTAGAGCATTTATATGTGGAACCCCTAAAGATTTCTCAGAGGAGCTCTTAAAGTCCAAGACTTTCGGGAAAATCTGCCGAAGCCGGGAAGCCTTCTTTGGGTCCTCCGGGTTCTGAGGTGCGCGCTTTGGCGACTCGGGCCCTTTTGGTAGGTCGGCTTCAGAAGCTTCGGGAAGCCGCGAGGCGGGGGCTTCTGAGTTAAGTATCGGGCTCATGGGCATTTCTAGGGTTAGATCGTAGTATCATATCACATCACACCATGTGGCATCACGTCAGGTCATATTATATTAAAGTTGTTGGTATCAAATATATATATGTATATATATATATATAGATAGAGATATCCATGACATCACATCATATCATATCATATCATGTTACAAATGTGCATATCGCTTAATTACTTTTATATAGCATACATACAGACATACATACATACGTACATACATACATGCATACCTACATACATACGGACAAACATACATACGTGCGTACGTACGTACGTACATACGCGCATACGTACATGTATACTAGATAGTCTGTGTGTGCATGTGAGTGTGTGTGTGTGTGTACATATATACATGGTCAGCCCGCCCCCCCCCCCCTGACAGACCACCCCCTCTAATACCCCGCTCCCACCGCCGATTCCGGCCTTTTGCGTGGGTTCGGGTTTCAATGTACATATATATATGTAGTGTATATATCTGTGCGTGTATGTACACAGAGAGAGGCGGTGTGTGTGCGTGCGTGTGTGCGTGTGTGTGTGTGTGCGCGCGTGCGCCTGACTGACTCTGACTCTCTCTCTCTCTCTCTCTCTCTTAGATGCATATATAGGTACATATGTACATATATATATATATACATATTTATATGTATATACATATATATATATATATACATGTATATACATATGATTATATACGCATACACGACCAACGCAAGCTGTATAATGTACGTGTGTATGTATGTATGTATGTATGTATGTATGGATGGATGGATGTATGTATGTATGTAGTAAGAACCTATGTAATTACGTATGTCTGTATGTCTGGGGGCTTCTGGGGTTTGCAGTGGGTTTGCAGTGGTTAGGGTTCATGCAGGGTATTTTTCGGGGGCTTCATCAGGCTTTCTCTGGGCGGGTGGAGGCGTGAGGGACAATGCTTCGTTGCCTTTAGGCAGATGGCCGCACTAGAAAGCTCGCGTCTTCTGAGTGGAGTGGACATATGCCTATGCTCAAGTACTACTTTCAAGGTTCTAATTACACAAAGCTCGCACGCCTTGGGCCGCCTTTCTTTTCTTGAGGACAAAATCGTGATCGTCGACCCTGAATTAAATCTCAAGTGGAAGCAAACTGCAAGTCAGACCCGAACCCCCTGTTTGGAAGAAATTCAACAAAGAACGAGATTGCAATCTTGATCCTCCCCAGATCCTTCCACGACCCAGCGGTGTCAGGCAGAAGATGGCCCTACGCCGACGCTTCCAGGCGACGGAACACTCCGGTGGCCACTTTTCGCCTTTAGTTTATCGAGCCCAACTGCCCCGAAACCTTCAACGAGTTGCAAGATCAGATCCTAGCTTTGAGTGCGGTTGGAGAGGTCTTGGTGCGCGTGGCCGTGCTGACCAAGCGCTTCGTCGACAAGTTGAGCACGAAGGCACGCCTGCAGCTTGAAAGGTCGGCTGAACATTGAATAATGCTTTTGTATGTCTTGACAGTGAGCCCCCCCATCCCCCACTCGATTGATTCTATGGGCCGGCCCCGGGCTCTTTTTTGGGGGGCTGGTTACACTGTGGCGAGCAGTCTGTTCGCTTCCGTGCGCTTCACACACCCCACATCGAAGGAACAGATCAATCGGCTCTTCTCACGCAGGTTCGACGGCAACGTGCCTGGAAACGCTTGAGCACGGCGGTTGGCACCTGGCTGCTGTTGCAGCAGAGGCCCTCCTGGGTCAGGGCGCGATTGCTGTGCGGCGTGCCTATTGGAATTTACATTTACATATATATATATATATAATATGGACACACATATCAATCTGTACGTATCTAAGGGAATGAACAGATAGATAAACCGATGAGTAAATGAATAAGTAAAGATATGTATGCATGTATGTATGTATGTATGTATGTATGTATGTATGTATGTATGTATGTATGTATGATTATGTATGTATGTATGTATGCATGCATGCATGCATGCATGCATGCATGGCGGTCGCTGCTTTCGAAGTCCACCGAATGGGTGAAAGCGCGAGTTTGCAAACAATTGGCCTGCGACTTCAAGTCCCTTC